TCATGATCAGGGGCCTGGTCCGGAAGGGCCTCGTCGGACAAATCCACTATTATCGCCTCGGGCGGATCAGCCGAAACTTGCACCGGGGTTGGAATCATGTCCTCGGCAGCGATCTCAGCTTCGGCCTGTTCCATCTCCGCCGAGGGGACATATTTGTGCATCTGGAAGAGCGGGGAGTCTGACGGGATCCCAGCAGCCTGGAGCACCTCGTACCACCCCTTCTTGAAGAACTCCTTGCTATTTTCTTCAAGAGCGGGTAACACGTCATCGGCGAACTCTTCTTGGAGTTGCTCATCGGACTTCCTGCTCTGCGCCTCAGCCCTGACCCTGTCCAGCTCCTGAGTCAGAGCCAGACAGCTTTCCTCTGAACCAGCAGTCCTATCCTCCGCCGCAGAGAGCCGTTGCGTCTGCTCTGTGATCCTCCTCTCAGCGTCGGCAAGGACGGCACTTAGCTTTTCAGCGCCGACCTTAGCCAACTCGGCATCCTTGAGGAGTTGCTCGATTTGAGCAGCCTACCCCGCAAGGGTGGAATCCCTGGCAGCTACATCCTCTTTAGCACTAGCGAGGGCTCCCTCGTCTTCTTCCTTTTGCTCTCGGACGCGCTGGAGGTCCATCCTAGCCCCATGGTATCGCACCGCTATTATAAAAATCTGTTGGGTGGCCTGCAAAGGAAACAGAGTGTCACTAAGAAGGAAAGGCGGCTAAAAGGACCGAAGCAAAGATGAACTTACCACCAAGGAATTCTGGATGATGGAGCGAAACAACACGTTCGTTGATCGCCCCCTGTGAGCCACCATGTCGGCCTCGAAATGCAGCGTCTCACTCACTGCATGGGCGACATGGGGGTCCAACAAAATGGAGTCGTCGACCCTGATCACTCGGTTCATGTGATCAGTGGCTCGAGGGTTCCACTCCGCGGCTTCCCCTGTCTGCGGAAGGGGAGGAGGAGTCTGTTGTTGCTGCTACTGTTGTTGTTGCTGCTACTGTTGCTGTTGTTGCTGTCGTTGCTGCTGTTGTTAAGGAGTGGGAGGTAACCCACAGCCTCTCCTGCTTTGCTGTTGAGCGGAGGGGACCCTGGATCCCCTGTTGAGGCCGTCGTGCTTGTGTTTGACCCTTCTTTCCTCCTCTGCCTGAGGGTCCCGGTCACGCACTTGACCCCCGACTGACGACTCTTGAGGATGGGGTGGCGTTGGCCCCTGCAGATGAGGCCCCACCGATCGATCCTCGTCCCCTCCCGGTAGCAAGGGCTTGCCTCTGCCTCAGGAACCCTAGATCAATACGAGGCGTGTTGGACATAGCTACCTTGAGGGCGTCCTCGGCGTCTAGAGACTGTAGGATTTGGAAGTCCGGCCACAAATCTCTCCCCGAAGTCCCCACCTCGGCGTCCAAAGGAACAAAGTCCTCTCTGACCTTGAACTTNAAGTCCCCACCTCGGCATCCGAAGGAACAAAGTCCTCTCTGACCCCGAGCTTTTCAACTTCACCCTCTACTTCTGCCTCCGAAGCCCGGTCAGGGTCTTCTTCCAAGTTCTCCTCGACCTCTTGCCTCGCTGCCTGATCGAAAATTTCAGACCACTACGAAGGCTCGAAAGGCTAGGGGAGCTGTGAAAACTTTTTATATCCAGGAGTGTAATTCAGCAGGATGTGGGCAGCTTGGCCGAACCCGTTGTCACCAGTAAAACTCCAAACTGTGACTAGGTTGGCAAAGTTCACCAACGACCGAGGGGGAGGAGCTGTTTCCCGAGCTTGGATTTCTGCACAAGCAAAAAAGGAGTCATGAAAATAGAAAATCCCAAGAACAAAATAATAGACCCGAAGGAACCGACGTACTTGTCGTTCTCTATTCCAAAGGGCAAGACAAGCCGTCATACTCGGGACCGACACCTCTCTGCCAAGATCCCTTGAAGATAAGTAGGTCGTCCTTGTACCCCTTGTCCGAGTCGAGAAGATGAGGTACAAGGTACATAGATGGGTCCCTGGTTTTGAGGTAGAAGTGTTGTTGAGTCATGACTCTCAGGAGGGAATAACAAAAAAGGAGATCGTTCAGCCCGACATTTACCCCGAGACGCCTATTGAGCTCTAGGATCCCCATAATTATCCTAAAGACATTAAGGCAGCACTGCCCGGGGAAGAGGTGAAAATGAGAAAGGAACTGGAGAAGTAGAGGGGGTAAAGGGAACCTAATTCCACCCTCTATGATGGCTTTGGTATAAAAGAACATTGCATCCTCGGCCCCGAAGGTATGAGAGTGCACAACTGGGTTATAATCCTCTATGTCTATGAACAGGGGGATACTGTACTTGACCTTAAACCTACTAATTTGCTCACCACCCTTTACTTTATACTTCCCTGACCCCGAAGAACTAGCTTGAGGATTCTCGGGGGTAGGGCGACGACGAGGTATCTCGATGGAACTAGAAAAATTGAAGGTGTTTTTCCTAAAAAATCCCCAAGGAAGCTTCCCGAGGACTGGTCGCTAAGTAGCAACCTGAGACACCTCCAGGTACCGAAAAACCAAAGGGGACAGAAGGACAAAGAAAGGAAAGATACTGGGACTCACTAGAATGTAAAACGAAATTTTTTCTGGAAAACTTGAGGCGACTCCTTCCAGAATAATCAGAAGCGACGGTGGGTCTGCTGATCTTAAGACTTCAGGGAAAAGGTTGGGTAGTTGACAGCGGAAGGGAAGTGATCTCTGACGAAGATTCAGGCGAAGGCTCTCTTAAGAAAGTTCGGAATGATGAAATGAGAAAATGGGAGAGGAAGCCCATTTATATAGTACTAATCTCATCATTTGGCGCGAAACACGAAAAGGCGCATTTAATGCGCGCGACGTCCTAAGCCGGGGAAAACGGCTAAACACAATGATGAAAGCAGTTAGGGTTGCTGTAAAACCCTTTGACTCCTTACAACGCGTGTCCTCGGCGTCAGAAGATCGAAGGCTGGGGGGCAGTTGATGAGACATTTCTGAAATACTCCAAGATGAAGACACGTGTCCTCGGTATCACCTAAATTCTATTACTAATGTCACGTACCGTCGGCTCACAAAGTCCCTCTCTCCCGAGGTACTTTATCATAAGGATCAAATGACATCCAGTACGTTTACGAACCGACACGTACTCCTCGGTCTGATATGGGTACGTCGGTCGCTATATACACAGCCTCGGATCCGAGATAACTTACCCCCTCGGGTCCGAGATGTACCAACATCCATGATAACATTCTCTTCTTCTGCAGTGTTACCGATGTACAGGTCACTAGCCTAGGCTAGGTTAGGTTAGCTATCATGACCTCGTTGCACAGAACTGGTGTCGGAAAGTACAGGGTGACAGGGACCACAGCCAATGGGGAATGGACGCGTGGCATGTTGTGTCACATCAGAGATAGAAAGACCGCGTGCCCTTGCTGACACACGACATTAGGAAAGCCAGCATTTAATTACACCATTCCTTTGATGAGACTGCATTCAATGCGATAAGACTCGGAAGTGAAAGGCAATAAATGTCTCTAAGGCTGAGCATTTATTGCATCCTCCCCGAGAGGAGATCATTGGACGGTCGGCGGCCCGATGACACAACATTGATTGCTCGGGATCCCCGAGCAGTTAAAAGAGAAGACATTCCTCATCAGAATCAGTGCGCACATTGCCCGAACCTAATAATCACCTACTGACTACACTGACAGCAATCATGAGTTTTTAAGGTATAAATACTCCTTACAAAAGGCAAGATGGTACGCAACAAAAAATACCTTTGCTATAACACATACTCAGTGCTTTCCTTTTCCTCTCTCTCAACAACTGACTTGATCGTCGGAGGGGATACGCCGAAAAACACTCCGGCGCCCTTCTAACTTGTTTTTCTTTGTCACAGGAACCCTCTTCAGCCTTACTGGATCGTTCCATTGATCCACGAGGGTCTCCCATCACCGTTCCAGGTTACCACCGGGCTTCACAAGCTGTTCCAAGCAGCGGGG